ATTAAAACCATTCAATGTGTTGTGGAGCAACAGATGTAAATGACCAAAATGTTGATGAATAGAAGGAATCAATTTAAAGTAAAAGTTAAAGCAGGCATAAAAAATTGCCTGATCCAGTCCACAACACATATTCTCTAGTGAAACAGGAGTAGGCTGAGTTGAATCCCAAAATAATGACGAAACCACTGGTTCTTAGCTTCATAATAATATAATTTACACAGTATGCAAAAAGAGATGAGAGTTCATATTTGGTGAGCAAACAAATAAAAATCTTCCTTAGTTATATTATGGTTAATCTACAAAAAAGGGGCATCAAGAAGCCGGAAAACTATAGACCAATCAGTCTATTGTCGCATATTTACAAGCTTTTCTCTCGAGTTTTGGTTAACAGATTCGGCAAAAAATTAGAATTTTTCCAACCCAGAGAACAGGCAGGTTTTCGCTTAGGCTTCAGTACAAATGACCATCTTCAGACTCTCAAAACAGTCATAGAAAAATGTAACGAATACAGGAAACCACTTAACTAGCCTTCATGGATTACGAGAAAGCGTTCGACTCCATAGAGTGGTGGTTTCTTAGCACGAGCCTTAACTAGATGCCGTATCGATGAAAGGTACATGCAAGTCCTCAATCATCTCCATCAGAACGCTAACGCCTGTGTCTCCCTACACAAGAAAACCGACAAATTCCATTTAGAGCGGTGTCAGGCAAGGAGACACAATATCACCGAAGTTGTTACCCTAGCACTACAATGCATATTCCAACAGGTGCAGTGGACTGGGAAAGGGTTAATGATTGATGGAGAGAGACTTATCAATCTGAGGTTGGCTGACGACCTGGTTCTGGTTTTTGAAAGCATCGAGGATATGCTCACGATGCTAGAGGATTTGAGAGTGGAAACTGAAAAACTGGGCTCAAAATGAACATTGGGAAAATCAAGACCATGACCAATATTCCTGAAGTCACAACTACCAGCTTCCAATGGAGAAAGTCACCGAATATATATACTTGGGACATAAGGTTACACTTCGCTTTGAGAACCAAACAGCGGAAGTGGAACGACGGGTCGCTCAGGCGTTGGCTTCATCGTTGGAGAGAGCAATGTTCGGAGTTACCCTGCGAGACCGAAAGCAACGCTTGGATCCGAAATAGGACCAAAGTCATGGCGAAGAAAAGGTGGGCGTGAGCGGGGCACATCCAAGATTGGATAATAAAACGGCCGTCATGATGATGACGATGCATATGGTTATATTTGTCGACTCCTCCAAAGGTATAATATAGGTAAAAATAATTGTGAAAAAAAAGTGAATTGAATTACCTATCCGTCCAATAATTGATATTATAACTTTAGACATCAACAAAACTGCCCTCAGAATGAAAAAAGATACAACTGCTGTATAAAGTACGTTTAGTTGTGTCTTTTTTCGTTACGAGGGCAGAAAATTCCCTTACTAATCCTGATCAATCTCTCCAACTCGAACATTTGATGAAATACGAATACATTTTTTTTTCACATATTTACTTTCAAAACTTTTTTTTTATTCCCGCTATTTTTTCGCAAGTAGGGAATTTTAAAAGCAACGTCATTGGCTAGTTGAATCGGTAGATAAAATATTCGGACCAATCACAATCAAGTCAGACGCGCCATCTACACAGTAGCAAACTTTAAATTAATGTTTGCAATAAGCTTTACCCTTATATTGTATTAAATAATTTTATAATGAAAATAATTTTTCTATTTTACAATTACATTACACATTAGACTAGATGGTGCACGCGAATTCGCGTAGAATAAGTACTTCGAGTAGCTTACTGAGAAATTATTGGTTCTCCATACAAACTTTCATACCCTATTTCACTCCCTTTAAGATTTATTTTTGTGACAAAAAGTTGCCTAGTCCTCCTAGGTCCCATCTATCTCTTCTGTCTCTCCCAAAATTCATCGACGTTAGTTCAGCCGTTTACCGCTGTTCTGGTAACAGATTACGAAACGTAACAGACAAAACTACTTTCGCATTAATTTGGATGAGTACTTGCTTAACTGACTTGTTTACTTATAATAAACAAAAAACTGTATAATAACTTAAAAGAACAGCTGCATCAACTGGCCTTAATTATTATAATATAATATAATATAATAATATAATATTATTATGCAGGACATGACATAAATCCCTACCTGTTTGCATCCACAATTTCCCAACTATCATCCTTCAGCTGCATGTACTTCTCCAATACTTTTTTCTGGAAATCCAGTTTTTCATACCTGAGATTGAAAAAAAATATCAAAGACTAATGAAAAACTGATGCGAATAGAGGCAGTAAAGATCATCAGCAAAGCACCAAGTACAAATATATTACATTGCAATCTTAATTGAAATATAGTGCTTAATTATTACCTTTCACCGCCATATCCACTCCGTTGCTGGATCTGGTCTAGAGGCATTGTCAAGAAGAATACTTTATCTGGCTTGGGGAGGCCTACATCAGGAGCCTTGCACCAGTTGATATCAAAACCTGAAACACTATATTATAAAAGTCACGGTTGATGGGACCTGTAAAGGGGCCGAAACGTCGGTTTGTTTGAAAAAACAAATATACGCGGTTTAAATCCGGAAAAATAGTTTCATTACAAACAGTACGTTAACCTTGAATGTAACAAACTTTGCACAAACTAAATAACCATAGTTAAGGTGTTTGTAAATGACTATTTGAACGCTCGATCGTGATTGGTCAAAAAACATAGTCTCCCGTCGAGATGTTCCCATTTCGTATATTTTTCGATAATGAAACGCTGACGTCATATCGCTGTCGGTACGCGTCGGTTGCAGTAACGATTTTCGTTATCCTGGATTTACAGAATAGCATAATCGGTAAATTGTCGATACGGCAACCGACGGCTTTCGCTATCAGAGATACCGAATCATCAGATCAGAGGGATCGAAAACTGCAGTAGAAAATTATCGACCCATAGCTATACTATGTTCTCTGGCAAAGATATTCGAAATGACTCTACACGGGCATTTACTGCCGCAATGTCGGCCATATATCACCGATACTCAGCACGGCTTCCTGCCAAATCGATCAGTCGCTACCAACCTCGTCCATCTCGTGGACTATATATCCAGCGAGATACAAGTAGGTAACCAGGTGGACGTTATTTATCTCGACCATCAGAAGGCGTCCGACAGGGTTGACAATGACGTGTTATTGCTAAAACTAGGAATTATGGGTTTGTCGCCGAGACTTCTTAAATTATTTGCAAGTTATCTGTCTCATAGAGAGCAATATGGGCCGTTTGTGTCAAGTCCCTATGGAACGCTTTCTGGAATTAGTCAAGGTTCTAACCTGGGCCCATTGCTCTTTGTTCATATGATCAACGATCTCCCAGAGACGGTGCAAAATTCCACCGTGCTCCTGTTCGCTGGCGATGTGAAATTGGTCAAGTCCGTGAAGGGTAGAGAGGATGCTGTGGGCTGCTGAAGGATTTTGACAGAGTGTACGATTGGAGTAACAATAATAAGTTATACATCAACCTTGCAAAGTGTGAGGTGATCAGCTTTACGCGGTCACCACTGCCACGTGAGTGTGTGTTTTTGTAAAGATGTTGCCGATTACAAGAGTAGCACAAGTACGTGACCTTGGATACGTTCTCAATAGTCGTCTGACATTCTATGCGCACATACAGTCAGTTACGTCGATAGCATATCGACGACTGGGGATTATACTCCGAAATGCCTCTCATCTCTCAGACCGAGCGACCTGCACGCTCTAGGTATCATCAGTGCGAAATATATTGGAGACATGCTCAGTTGTTTGGATTCCTTGTGAGATATAATATAACCTCATATTGGAGCAGGTGCTGAAACAGATTCTCCGCCATTTATACAAATCTTTTGTAGTTAGTAGTAGTAGGTATTACCCATGCATGTATGCTACGCTTTTTTTGCAAGGGCATCTTGGCTTCGACTCTTTACAGTTGCGTAGGTTCCTCGCGCTGGGCAAATTTTTTGTAAATATTATTCGCGGTAAAATTGACCCCTCTTATTTACTGCAGCGTTTGTTTGCTATTTGTGCTGCTGGCACTGAGCGCGGCACGCACGCAGGCACACCGAAACACACTGTTGCTGCGCGTTATCACAGACCTCAACTCCGTTTTCGAGGCAGCACCACATAAATAGGTACTGATTTATTTGATAGCACGATTGAACGTCTGATGAGTGAATGTAGGAAAGTATTAGAACAAATGATGCCTGTAAGTTCAGTTCTGTGAAATGTATTTTGTTTGTTTTTTGTTTAATTTTTTATTTTTATTTTCGTTGTTTCTGTGTTTGTAGCGATTTGGACTTTTGTCTGTTAAGTGGCAAATGTTAAATGTAAAATAAATAAATAAAATAAATAAATTTCGAAAATTTTTTCAAGGGATTGTGTTTTCAGTTTTCACAACTATTTTAAAATATTTACGTCCTATTTTAAATTCAATTTTAAAACTGAAACTTAATAAAACCAAAATTGAATTTTGAAACAGGACATTCTAATAAGTGTCTATAAAACACTGACAACATACACATTTATCCCAACATACCTTTGGCAGCTGTAAATGCTACTCCTGAGAAACAATATCTGTCAACAACAAGGCTGATGCCTGCATTAAGGGTCTGAATGATTTTCTTGGCACACTCCCAACGATTTGCTGAAAACAGCAAGTGGATCACCTCATCTGACAAATCTTGCTGCAAACCATGACAACTTATAAAAATTTATCATTGATTATTTATAAAATTTGCGATAGTAAAGTAATTTTGTTTTAAATCATATTGTAACTGTCACAATGTTACACTTATTTATACACAATCAAGGGACAATATGATTACCACCAATACTTATATATAAATCAAAATAATATAATTAAAAATAAAGAATAATTCTGAGATATTGTTAACAATAAAAAAGAATATTGGCAGGAAATTCCTCTGCACTGTAGAAAAAGACGAAAAAGAAGGAATTCAAATGAGAGCTTCAGTAAGGTACTTACACAACATTTTTCACCTGTTGTATCATTTTTTAGAATTCCAAGGTTTGTTTACTGACTACTCATAGGTTTCTTGTCGAAAATTTGCTTCACTGAGAAACATGTTTTCCAGCAAATCTACTACTACTATACTCAGCCTCGGACTGTACTTTGGCCAAAGTATTTAAATTTTAACATAAATAAACAATTTTCTATCAATACATAGTGCTTTTTTTAAAGACGAACTATAAGGCTATTAAGCCTATTATCATAATATAACAAGAGCAATTAGGGCAACTCCTGTCTGATCTGTGTATAAATGCCCACCTACACTTAGCTCGGAGTGTTGGGTTGTTACATGATTATTTTAGTTGTACCTACAGGTTGTATACACATTTTGAAGAAATTAAGGTGTCCATCACGATATTTTCGTACCACATTGAAATTTTTTTTAATGCTATAGGTATTTACATATTGACATTTTCATATCAGTATTGCGGATTGGTATCTTGATTATGGAGTATGATTATGAAATAGAAATTAAATGCGGAACGAATCTGAAAGGCACTCTTGTTCAAACTACCACAAGCACAGCAATAACACTTTTACTATTTGGTGTCATTTTTTTAAGCGACCACTTCAATTCTATAAATTAATGACGCATTCGACAACCCCCGCTACGCAACGCGAGTTTACCGCCAGATTTTGAGAATGTATGCGTACGTACACGGCGCGCGTGCACACATACAAGCCGTGCTGCTACGTTAGTATGGAGTTTAGACTTGTGCCTGATCGGTCGTTAGAGGGAGCGATCCTAGTTAGTTCAATCGGTCAACTGAACTGGGTCAGTCTTCTAGTTCATCTAGTTCCTTAGTTCGTTTTGTCCTTGCTCGGATGCTGAACGAACGCTACAAACTAGTAATGTTATTCACATGAACTACTATGGACTTCTCGTATTATGAGGTCAATAGTACACTGTATTAAATATTTAAAAATACAATTTGTATGAAATCGGTACTATTTGATTTTCCTTCATATTTCACATGTTTAAAAACAGTCATTCTAACTAAATATCCTTTTTTTTACAAAACAAGAATTTTAGTTACAATGGTGTATTTAAAATACATATTACAATATTTAAGTACATGCATACAACTATTTCATATACTTGTACATGTAGGTTGATATTATACATACAGATACCTACCACACCTACCACAACATATGAGCACTTATTTTTTTGCAAGCTTACATATACAGGGTGTCCCAAAACTCAACGTCAAGCGGGCATTGGGTGAGAGGCCAGGTTATATCAGTTCTGATAAAAAAAATCCATGTCACTTAGTTAAGTGATAATAGGCATATTTTTGAAAATGTTGAAAATCGATACCCTAGACCACATGTTTAGGTATTGTCACATATGTGTATATTGTTATTAAAAAAACAAATAAGCCGAATTTTATGAAAAAAAAATAAAGAAACAAAAATCAAAATAAAAACAGAACTCGTCCAAAATTAAGTTGGTATAGTATTCATAGGAGGTGTCAATCTCATCACATTGTTATTGTTTTTACGCAACATCCAAAAATGGCACTTGATACACTTCGATTTATGGACGTGTGTACAACGGGTGCGGTTCGTAATATATAATAACAAATGACATATTAGTCGATATAACGCTCAACAGATATTATTAATTTATGGTGCACAGACATTTGGTATAATCTTGCATGATATAAAGGTCACTGGGTATAATAGACGATTGATATAATAACTTTCAATCTAATACACCTATGGCAAATTGTTCATTTTTCCGACTTCAAAAAAAGTAGGTGGTTCTCAATTCGAGTGTATGTTTTTTTGTAGGTATGTTATGTATGTAGGTATGTAATGTTTTTTTTTAACGTCATCCTAAACAACCATGCTATTTATTGCAGTCACAAATCAAACAGTAAAGGTTATGAGTTTAGTAAGAAAAATTAAATTTCCTTGAGTTCCAGCTTAAAAAAATTATGTCAGCTAGCTTTGATACTTCATTTTTTTTTTAATGTACTACACTACTCTGGGCAAGTTATTTGAAAAGATGGCCCATTTAATAAAGATTTCAAAATAGTACAGTACTTGCCACTTGTCATTCCATAAAAAATGTTATAACTTATTTTTTGCAAAAGGATCTCGTTTCAAAAAAAAATTATACCATGATAAATGATGCTTTTTGTGTACTCAAAGATTGGCTTTACCATCGTCGAAGTGACATGGCCGTATGTGATAGAGTGAGATAGATAGTGACGCACTTTAACATGAATTAGAGTGAGACAGATTGATAATCGACATTTAAAATGAGCGAGACGGATAGTGATGCCGATACTCTATTATTGATCATTGGTTATTATCATTTAGTACGCTACGTACCTTCGTTTACTGTGCATCTTCTCGTAATCGTGTAACTTTTGTACTGACGACTTTTGCTTGTGTTACCGTGGACTTGATATTGCACTCGTATTGACGACTTTGGCTTATTCTCTTGACTCGATTTGTGTTGTGTAAACTGTATTAGTTAGCATTTAGCAAAACTATACTAATATGCGAACATGCATCTTATTTATGGTGAATGCCATTGCCACTTTTCATTCCATAAAAAATGTTATATTTTTTATGGAATGAAAAGTGGCAAGTACTGTACTATTTTGAAATCTTGATTAAATGGGTCATCTTTTCAAACAATTACAGTACATTTAAAAAAAATATGAAGTATCAAAGCTAGCTGACATAATTTTTTAAAGCTAGAACTCAATGAAACTTAATTTTTTTTCCTAAACTCATAACCTTTACTGTTTATTATTATTATTTATTTATATATCCAGCATTGGCTATAGAGCCATCAGCTTAAAAGGCAACAAATAATTAAGAAACTCGTAACGTAACATATTTGAACTAAAAATTAATAAATGTAAAACCAGTAACTACACAAATCAGCCATTTCTATAATAACCTTTACTGTTTGATTTGTGACTGCAATAAACAGCATGGTTATTTAGGATGAGGTTAAAAAAAATCACTGCAAAATTTGAAAATTTGTGATGATAGTACATGTGATCAAGGGTATCGATTTTCAACATTTTCAAAAATATGCCTATTATCACTTAACTAAGTGACATGGATTTGTTTTTATCAGAACTGATATAACCTGGCCTCTCACCCAATGCCCGCTTGACGTTGAGTTTTGGGACACCCTGCATACATAATGAAGATACGTATTAGAGAATACTTTAGTACAAGCTAGCAACATTCAATCATACATCCCACTCGAACTTGTACTAAACAGTGAAAGATCGCTATTTGTCCCGCTTGCACCATTCCTACTGAATAAAAGACAGGTGAACTATCAATGTAGACAGTTCCTAGTTCATACTGAACTAAAAAGAATGATGAACTATTAAAACCGTACAAGACGAACTAGTTCACGTCGGTCAGTGTTAGGAATATATTCCTAATAGTTTGTAGTTCATGAACTATACAAGCCTAATGGAGTTACTATACTTGTCGTATTACACTATGCTTATGCTACTATGGTGCTAACGCACGTATTTGGAGAATAGAAATTAAACTCACCTTCGATGTTAAATAACCGTTTATCATTTTCCCTATTTCGGTATCTCTCGCCGGAAAATTCATATTCTCTGCCTGTATTTGCTTCTTCGTCAACCCCTCAGCTGTGTGACATGATTATTAAATATAGAATTGTTACAATAGGACAAGCAAAATAGGCGCCTTGACGTCAAGTTCCGGACACCAGCCCGCTACACAAAGTACAATAGGAAATTTGGTTATCTTTTACATGTTAAAACTTGCTTACCTAATGCTCTGCATTGTGTAGATTTACCAGTCCTATCTACACCCTCCAAAACAATGAAGGCACCTCGTTTTACGTTCATTGTCACCAATTTCTTTCAAATTGTGTAAATATTGTTTCACTGTTTTAATGTAGCGTTCCTTATGAGTTTTACTCCAAAAAGCAAGAATGGACTAAAAGAAACCGAGAAAACCAATTTATTACATAAAACTCTCTGTTAAGACAGATAAATTACAAGTTATCTTTTGTGGATATGGCTACGTCAATTTACGCTATATTTAAGGCGGTAATTTAATGCCATAATATGGCGGGAACATTATTCTCAGAAATTCACAACAAATCAACAAAACAAAATAGATGTCAAAAGCAAAGAGAATTTAAGCAATTTTTTTAAAATTTATTGCTGGCCTTGGAAACAAAGTTCTTCAGCCGAAAACATAAACGTTTAATTATATTTCTGTAAATATGGCCACCACAAAGAGGATAGGCAATTTGAGGCGGCGTGTTTGGATTGATTCGGGATTCCTTAGAACGGGCCGATACTGGTATTTTAGTTCGAGATTCGTATAATTTCGTGTTTTAAACTGCGATTAAGGCACAATAGTGGAATAGGATAGTGATCCTATTCCACTTTAAACTAGATTTCACAAAATAATTGAAAGTCAAAATAAAAACGACACTTTTCCCTCCAAAAGGCCCAGAGCGAATCCACGCAGTCGCAAAGCTTTGCCGTGTTGCCAGATCCAATTTTTAAAAATCCGTAGAGCGACTCTGGACGACGCTGAAATAACCTTAGATCTCCGCAGATTACCTCAAGAAAAATCTCTACTATATGTTTTAAAGTTACATCCTACAAAATTCTTTAAACTCAAGAACCACAACATCTAGCGAAGTACTGATTGTACCCAGAAAATATCGGTTTCAGACGCAAAATTTTAGGATGGGCTTCTTAGTTGAAAAGATACAGGAAATTCAATTATTTTTCATTGACAATGTAACGTAGTGCGGAGAAACAATATACATAATGAAAAATGTGTAACTACTCATTCTTCTATACTGTTATACATAGTAGTAGAGTCTAATTTAATCGTTGAATATGACATGAGTCGTAATCATAAGTAATAAATTACCTATACATTGTATATTCATCGTTTATTCAATTCTACTATATCTTTCTAATTTGTGACTCAATTAAGCCATTCATTCTTTACCCAAAAAAGGATCTAGTCGTACACAAATGTATTCCAAGAGTCTAGCTCGCCTCGGTTAGGCCTGGAGCCGAATACTTATACACCTATGTCTGCACTCAGATTACATGTTTCATAATCTGAGCCTATATGTATATCTAGATTTATGTCTGTGGCCTATACAGTAATAAAATATCATGTCAGTCTTCGAGCATATTTATGATCAAGGATGTCCGTCGGACATCATTATATTAAAGTAACAGTACCTATAGCTTGTATACGTGATTAATAATTAGGTAACTTATTATGATTATAGTGCCCTTACAGGGTTCATGTGAATACACACATGAAACAATGAATAATGTATTATTAATATTATAAAGCACTAGTATTAATACAAGACACTACATACAGAAGTTCAACAAAAACTGTGATATGCAAAATACGCACACGGGGTCCTGAATAACACGGGTATAATCTACTTATACACTAATTCTAAAATTTTGCGACTATTATAGAATCAACTAAAATAATCAATGACTTTTCTTGGCGCAGTCTTGGGTTCAGCACCGGGAAATCTCGGTCTTTAAAGTACTAAGAACTCCCGGTTCTTCTTTCGGGATTCAGCGTCGATAGTATAATTTTGTTAGTAAGTTTTAATTACTCGCGAAAGGCACATCGATGCTTTCTCGCGGTCTAAAATAAACGACAATAGATGCGGGCGAGGGGAGGAAGCAGCACAGCTCCTTTTGAAAAGTTCATCCAGGGAAGTACTGTCACCTTTCCTATTTCTGCCGCCAAGCAGTAATGTGAATGTCACTGCGCTCCGGTTTTGGAGGGTAATTATGCTGGCGAAATTATAGGCACATGAGAATTGTAAACTTATGTCTCAGGGTGACGGGCGCTTTAGCTGTACTCCTTAAGATCTTTGCGGTTTAAAGCTCTGAGCGGCACTGCAAGTGTTATGGACAGGCGTGTTGCTCTGAGATTTAATGACGAAACAGAAGCAGCATTCATCCTTAAAATCTTAGGAGTACAAATATTAGTCCACTACTAGGAGTCAAGAAACAAGGATTACAAACGTTTCAGATTTTACATAGGGCACACGCACCGTAAGTTTCCGGAACTGGCCACTTACTTAAACAATATTTAAAAAGTAACTTAAGTAAAATAGAACTTAACTTTTAGGATTTAACTCGTGAAAATTTTCGTGGTATGATTTTCTACGACTCTAATGGTCGTATTCCAGAACTCTACTCAATGCTCAAGTCAGGACTTGAGTATTGGAGCGAGCACTGAAAATCATACACAAGTCCTTGCCATTAGGGTCGTATTTCCAGTGCTTGTGTTTCCAGTGCAATCCTGACTTGAGCATTGAGTAGAGTTCTAGAATACGACCCTGAATGTAATTTAACAGCTCAGCGGAGCTTCGCTCGGCTTCAAACTGCTTTTGGCGATGAAGCACCATGCAAGACGACTTTTTGTAGCTGGTTTGCTTAATTCAAACGCGGTCGTGTGAATCTCAGTGACGAATTTCGTGATTGTCGCCCGTCCACTGCTGTGAACAACAAAAACATCGATGCTGTGTGCCGTATGATCAAAACAGACAGGCATGTGACATACCATGAGATTCGGGCATCTTTAGGCATAGGCATGAGCCTAATACAATCAATACTACACAAACATTTGGGTGTGAAAAAGCTGTGCTCTCGGTGGATCCTACACAATTTGACTGAAGCTCAAAAAACGGATCGCGTCACTTGATGCAATGCCATGCTTACCAGATTCAACTATGCGCCGTCAAATTTGGTGTGCGACATAGTAGTAGGTGACGAAACATGGATTTACAGTTACGATCCCAAAACAAAGCAGCAATCGAGCGTATCGATATTTCGAGATGAGCCGAAACCAACCAAAGTGGCGCGCGTGCAAAGTGTCTCTAAGCAGATGATTGCTTCTTTTTTTAATAAAACTGGACACGTGGCTACTGTTGCTTTTTAGAATCGTTGTACCGTGAATAGTGATTGGTACACGACCATTTGTTTGCCAGAAGTTATTTACAAACTCCGTAAAAATAACCGTTCTCACACGGCCAGACAGACAAATGAATTTTTGAAGGTGAACAACATTTTCATCGCCTGAAGATGCTGTCGAACAGTATGAAAACTATGTTTCAGAAATTGTCACGGAGGAGTGGCATAAATGTTTTCAAAATTGGTTCATTCGTATGATAAAATGCGTTAACGCTAACGGAGAACATTTTGAGAAACAATAAATTAATTTCTGACCATTTATAGCATTTTTTCTTATTCATTCCGTCAACTTATAATGCGCCTCACGTTATATCTCGACGTCACGCTGGAATAATATAATATTAGCATTAGGTCATTCACATGAAAACGAATCTCATCGTCATTTTCATGATGAATTCATTATTTTGTTCTATGATATTTTCATTACTAATAAGAACTTATTACGTAAAACTGAATTATATTTGTGGGTAGAAAATTTTCTAATTGGATTACGGCTGGTATAATTAAAACAAACAAGATCTTTATTTTATAAAATCGTCTAAAGTATCTAACCCACTTCACGGTATTGCTCACTTATCAATCGATTTTGCTAACGCCAGTAAAAAGTAATAGGTACAGTAAGTGTGGGTAAGTGTATGCGTAGCACAAAGTACTTTGCAATATATCGAGATTACTTAATACTCCGGGTCGTATTCCAGAACTCTACTCAATACTCAAGTCAGGGCTTGAGTATTGCAGTGAGCACTGAAAATCGTACTCAAGTCCTTGCCATTGGGGTCGTATTTCCAGTGCCTGAAATCATACTCAAGTCTGCTCAAGTCCTGACTTGAGCCTTGTAGAGTTCTGGAATACGACTCTCTGTTACTAGTTAAATAGTCATACTTCTTTTTGGTCAGTTTTGGTGCTAAGGAGGACCATGCAAAGTCGCGCCAACAAGTGTAAGTGATATCGTCAGCCAAAATGCGTAAGGAATGAGAATGCGGGCAGACAAGTGGGCGCAACAGAAGATTGTTGGATAGTAAATGAAAGATATAATATAAATTGAGCAGTAATTTAATACTCTATCTACCTATACTCTTTGACGGCATTATCATTCTCATATGCCCCCACAAACTAATAAGAGATACTACGTACATGCCCCTTTAACTTGAACTTTGTTTGGTTTATAGCCATAACTCAAAATAACGCAATCAAAATTAAACTATATTACGAATCATCAGAACACTATTTAATTTTTTGAATACTTGCCCGGCAAAATACAAGATCGGAATAAACTAATCACATTTCTCACACGCATCCAAAGCTTGTGATTGGTTCATAATATTTCACTTATCATAGTGAAGTGAGCGGCAAAGCAGCCATTTCAATTCGAGACAACTTCATTCAAGTTGTAATCGTCGAGCGGTGTTTTTGTGCGTTTCGATACGTTTTCCTTTGTTTTTATTAATTTTTTGTTACGTGGGTTTGTTGTAAAAACATGAAAAAAGGCTATAAAGTGACTGATGTTCGACGAGAAAAGAAAATTGGTGTCGCCGCTGAGAACCTTGAGGAATTGATCCAGAAGTCTTATAAAAAACTCGGTGTAAGTTGCTTTTGTTTGTGTTTACGATTTTACCGTAACTTTTAGGGTGCATTTTCTGTTGATTTGGATTATATTATAGACTGTTTAATTCATAAATTTCGTGTGACTATCTTTAGTACAGGTATTAGGTTGAGGATAGACCCTTGACACGTTTAAATTAGCCTTGACCGATATCCGACGTACCTTGACCTAATTCTCCATGAATATCGGTTTTCAGTTCAATGTCAGTAGTGCCGATTGTCGATTGTTTGTGGCCGAGGACGGGACGCTGGTGGACGACGATGACTATCTGCGCACTTTGCCTCCTCAGACGCTCTTTATTCTGTTAAAGAGCACTGAGAAAATGGTAACTGGTAAGTTTTAACAAAATTCAAGGTAAAGCTGTCTACTACGTTTAAGCGAAAACATCGACGATTATTACGTAATTTCTTAAGTTAACAATTATCTGAATGAAAATTAGGTTAAAATTTTTGCTTAGTACCTATAATTAAAGTTTAAAGATATTTTGTATATTTTTTTAAAATGTGTACCATTATAAATTGTAATGTCAGCAAAAAATAAATAAATGAAAAAAAAATATACAGGTCTTGTTCTAAGTAAGAAAGAAGATAAATTGTAGCTTAGCAAACAACACCGCACAAGTAATTTTGCTCAAGTTGTTAATTTTAAAGAGTGAAAAAAACCACATACTTCAAGGGAGAAAAGACAGAAGGCCAAACTATAATGAATAATAAAATATTTATAAATGTTTTGGTTCATTATTCTTTTTAGTTTTATTACAGTTGGTAGGTTGTATAAATTGTATTGATTTTCAGTAGATCAACATGAAAACCATGTGCAGAGCTGAATTTTAGCTTTTTCTTGTGAAATACTACAGCTACTTTTACTTTAAATTTAATTTTTGAACGAAAAATGTTTTTTCGACAAACAGATGGAAAACTCTTGAAATGTACCTACATCAATAAATAAAAAAATTGTATGAATAGGTCATTTTTGATAAAAGTTTTTTCACCTTTTCTTCTCTGAAATGTGTGCGTATGCGCGTGTGTGTGTGCTATATTTATGAATAGGTATCAAATAATTTATTTGTGTGTTGGTTAGGGGTAGGCTGATACCACAGCCTTCTTCTTACTATGATTCTGCACACATAATATGTATTATTAAAGTTATCAAACAAAATTAGTGGTAGAAATAGTTAAGTGTGCGAAAGAAAGATAATTCCTAATTGTAGGTACTATGTGGTCATAAAAGCGAAATATTAGAAAATGTAATGAGAATTTATTAGTTATATAAATGGTAATAACTTTATGTTTTACAATCCAAATAGTTTCTTATTTATATATCTATTTAATTTAAAAAGTATAAAGTTGCACTCTAATTCCCAACTGATTTTTAATGTCCCTAAAATTGTAATAACTTGAAGTATACATATATGTAGAGTAGTCGAGTTAGCAAACTATTTTAATTTGTGTTTCAGATTTCGACTTTTACTATAATATGATCAGATCGACAAAGAAGGAGTACATTGATACAGGAAGAGCTGCCAAAGAGTTTCTCAGCACTAATATGAAAGAGAAGTTCCGTCTGTTCCAGAAATACATTGCAGCCGCTGATGATGCGCGCACCATGCTTAGTGAGCGTAAGCAAGATCCCAATTGGTTTGAAGGTAGGCTGGAATCCACTGAATTTAATTTTACAGTGCTAATGACAAAATTTTGCGTACTTAGTTGCATCGAAGATTCCACTGTCGTGTAAAATCTACGTGTCACTGTTTGGTTTTTATTAAGTGTTCTTTTTTATGTATTGTTTCTCTAACGGGGCAGACATGTTCAATAATGATAAAAGCCCTTAAATAAATAAACAATAGCAAAATATCTATGAGTCCCACGTAGGGCGCCATAAATTTATTTTGATGAATACATAATTCTCGTTACAGGTTTGGAGTCCTCAGAAAAAACCAAAGAACAATCTATGTCAAAACGTGTCAAAGACCGTATGAGGGGATATTACTACAAAACCAAAAGTGCACTGCAGGCATCCGAGCTCTATGTGCATTCACGTAATTGGCGCGGTAAGAAACTGATAGATCAGTTCCTTCTGGATCTTCGGAAACTTCTTGAATCTAATAAGTACAATGAGACGTATTTTAATCGAAAAGCCAACGAAGACGATCGTTTATGCGATGAAAAGGGACTATTCGTTTGCAATGGTCTCTGGAACAACAACAAATGCGAATACGAGGGCGAACATGTCATAAATCCTTACCGAAGTCGAGAGGAAAGGATTATATTCCAGACTTGGAATTTGGACCACAGGATTGAACTATCCAGGTCCATAATACCGAAGATATTGGAAGCTATCGTGGCTTTATATAAAGGGGATATTAAATGTATATCATGCGAGAAAGATTTTAAGAGGGGCGGCGTCGAGACTGATCGGTATTATTTACAGATTTTCACTCGTGAGAATTTAAAACTGGTGCACATTGTTTGCCATTATAAAGGGAAACATGACACTAATTCTGACGTGTACACGGTATGTAATAAATGTTTCAGGGGTCAGAGCATTGAGTTCTGTAACTAAGTTTTTACAACTTGAAGAATGAAGTTACGAACTTGATTTAGAGGCATCATTGTCTTATGTTAAACATGCCATAATATAAAAGCGAAAATATCTTACGTCAACGAAAATTGACAATCAACTTTATTTTCTTAAAATTACAAAAAAGGACAACCATGCCTCAATTTTATTTTTGTATAATTAAAAGTTTCAAAAATAGTAATGGAGTAATTAGGCACTTATTTCGTTTATTTTTTAACTTTAAAATTTATGTCTGTCTATTTGTGTAATATTTAAATGTGCCAAATATCATACTAAATGTACTTACTAAAATTGGATATACCTACATATACTTTTTTGGAATATAATTACTCGAACGGCTTCTAGTATCGTAGTCAATGTAGAAAATATCACTAAAGTAGTGGATTTATGAATGTTAACATGTTATATTGTTATGGGGCCTTTTTAAATGGCGAATATATTGTCTGAAAGAGGGACAGGGCTACTGGAAGGAACGAGACATGTATTAATATTTTTCAAGGCAGGATACTGGGAAATAATGGTACATTCTGATTGATTTTATTTTTAATAATACATATTCTTCGAAAACAAAAGTTATGAGGAACATGAACTAAATTTGTGGCCTAGCCTTAACGAAAGTAAAAGAAGGGCTCAGTCCAATAAATTTAAAATAGTACAATGTCATAAAATAGGTATAAACAATATAAAATACTTCATACTAATACTAAACAGTATAAATTCCAGGCACTTATGATGCTTTAAAAACATTTAAATTACGTGAAGTTGAGTTTTATATAATTATTAATAACCACGTCCTCTCGCTTCTACAATGTTAATACGAGTGATAATTGAACGAACTAACGCAACGTAAGAATAATGGAAGGAAAGGAATTCGAGAAGAAATAAATAAAGAGGGTGCCAAAAATTTGGATGACGATGAAGGAGTTCAGCATCGTCATAAACTGTCGGTAGGATTATTTGTGGACCGAGGAACAAAAGTTACAGTAGTGTGTCTAACACTTGTACGCGTACAGGGGTGCTCTCTCTTCCTGCCGACATATTTGCCAGGGCTCTGTTAGATTACAAAGATTTTTATATTCCACGAATTATTCTCCTTTACCCTTCATTATAGCTAGAGTAGGCGTGTATTAGACACACAATTTCCAATATCACTACTATTTTGATATAATGAAATGCTCCAATATGTGATAGTCTTGTTTTCCTGGACGGAGACAGCAGGTGTGAGGGAAGTGAGGGAAGGAGAATTAGGCTTTGGGCAAATCACCTAATATGTTGTTGACTTGAAGAAACTAACACTTCAAAATCCGCGCTATGTGTATGACGTATTTGTGTAATTTAATAATAAAAAAATAATTATTTTTTTTTAATCATGTTTCGACTGAAATAAAATTGAATCATGTATCTATTTTGACCCAAGGCAGTCATTTAAAGGTAAAAAGTACCTACAATAATTTGCTTTTTAGATGCTATGACCAAGATGAGTAAATTTTACTCACCTTGGTCATAAAATTTGAAAAAACTAACATTTGGTTTACTAATTCATTTTTCAATGCAGTTACAAGAAAAGTTGTACCTTCTATAATTTGAAGCGAGCGAAAAATGGTACCTACGTTTTTGTCTTAGCAAGGAAACTTCTTATATTTAATGCAATACATTAAAAGTATTTAAATTATATTAAAAAAATTAACAATGGATTCGTAAATTAATCGCCCGCGGTTCGGGCATAAGGTGCCAATTCGTTTGCAATAATCTAGGTACTTTCCGCGAGTAAAATAATTAATTTTTAAATAAAATAATTTTTGCTGCACTTGTACTTTGACTTAAACAAGATATCGGAAAGTAACATTCAACCTCAATTTTAATACAGGGTTATTAGATAGCCATAAATGAGAAGCAAATGATATATTTATGTACGAATTATTCTTAAAAAGGATTATTTTTAGGAAAAATATTTAAAATTATTTTTCTTGAACGACTGAAAATATCGAATTTCTATTTATTTTTATTATTAGATAGGTACGTAATGTAATAATGATGGAAAAGGACCTTTTTTTGATAATAATGATGATATTTGCTATTATCAGAAAAGCTCCTATGGTCGAGTTGGAGTAAAGGATTAGTGTGGATATATCATTGCATTTTGAAAGCAGCTGTCCACAATACTGTTTTTATAATTGTTCTTCCTATCATTGACAACCTTTCGCAGATAACCTAATGGAACTTAATAAATGAATTTCAGTAAATATAACATATAACTATTAACTTAAAATTATGTAGTTACTGTAATCTTTAGAATTAAGAGTTTTAAAAATCGAAGAATATTCTATTTTGTTACAAGCGTATATTGTTATTAAGTAGATTATGCGATGTATGCGTTGGTCTCATGCCTTTTCTAGAAATAATCGTGGCTCTGTTTATACGTAATAAGTGATGAAATAATTAAGTTTTTTACTAAATTTTAACTTGTCACATTTACACGTATTTTAGTGAAGCTATTTTGACATTTTAGCAACACTATATAAGTGCTTCAAACTTTAACTCACGCCTACCGGTGAATGCGCTACATAATGTTGGGATGGAAAAATTTCCATTTAAAAAAAAACATATTTTTCCACATTTTACAGTGACACCCTTATGAAGTTTTAAGAGCTTATTTGAAGAGAACTTTTAAAATAAGCCAAGCAGGGTTCAGAAAATTACATTAGCAATGTTTATACAATTTTATTTTATAATTCATGCAAAATAAACGTAAAAAAATTATCCAAACGTAGAACTTCGCATTATACGAGCCTTTTTTCCAATTTTTCCTGAAATATTGCCATTTTCATTTTTTCGGAAAATTGCCAACCGCTACCTTAAGTCTAGTCTAGCCTAGCCTAGTAAAGGTCGGTTATTTCGCAAAAAAAAAAGGTTTGATTTTAATTTATTTATTATATATCTATACATATTTTTCAAATTTATCACTTATCCATCGATGATTGATTTTGATTACTTGACAGCTGTTAAGTGATTGTTTACATGCACAAATTAATTTAAAAATTTATTTAATTACTCTGTCACTTAATACATGTAAACTAGCGATTAGGTAGATTAGTGAAACAGCAATATTAACGTGTAACCTAGAAGCACAAAATATTATAAGAAACATAGTTTTATTACTTGTTGAATAGAACATTAGCTTACGTCAGGTCACTCGATTTTTTTTTCTCGATCTATTGCATATAGTCGGGTTTTTAAGTAAATGTAATAAACTACTAAAGTTGCTTGGAAAGATAATTTGTACGGCTATCAGAGATTCAGTCAGAACTGCCTTAGTCGTCTTTTGTCCAAAAGGAAGTCTGTCTAAATTTGAATTCCTAGTCTTTCTTTGTGGCCAGTCAGTCCACTGGTCGTCCATGGAGGCTGGACGTGACAATAGTGTTATCATGTTTATATAGTGTAGTGATGGGTTCGGCTCGGTTTTCAAATATATACATTTAGTCTCTACATACCCATACTTCTAACCATCATTTTTCTGTTATCAAGTTGGATCAGAGAAGTTAAGTGAACACAATTTTTATTTTACCAAAAACTGGCAACTCATTCATGCCTCCTTAATGTATGAGGCAGAGTAAGGAAATCGGAAATGAACTCTAGTATCATGAAGAAATTCCGAAGAGCTCAATATGGGTAGAAACTAGTTCTTACAGCAACCTTTCACATAATTAGAATTGCTTAACAATAAGTTGTTATCCATGCTACCCGAGGTCATGAGACTAACACAGCTGTTAAAATACAGTAGATGCTTCCAGTGCATACTCGTAGTAGTAGCTTTATAGATAGTTGGTAGAGATGTTCAAGTAGCTAAAATATTTAGAAGTAGGTATCAACTCTATACAGTATTACAAACCTTATCCTGACGTAGTAAAATAAAAGAAAATATAACATTTAAAAAAGTATTTTATTTAAATAGAAAATATTTACAGGAAATAAGTGTTTTAAGTAAGCTGAAGCAGCCATAGTACTAAATTAAGTTTATTTTTTTATATACTTGTTAATGTATTCGAACCTGTAATAATAATAACAGTCGTCAGCTTTAATATGTGAAATGATTTCATATAGGGTTATTTGTAAAATAATAACTGCCTCGCAGGACTAAATTACTAATATCATGAACAACAACTGCAGTTTCAGAACTTTTATTTAATCATCAGATTTTACTTTCCTTCAAAAATTAAAATATTTAGGTATGTTCCACAACTCTTCAGAAACTAGAGTTGCAACGAATATTCAGTTACTATTCGGTATTCGGCTTATTCGGTTTTTTTTGGCTATTCGGCCGAGTACTGAATATTAAATCACTATTCGGCCGAATACCTAAAAACAGGAGGAATAAATAAGAAACAAGAAACAGTAAATTATCACAAATAGTAACGTCTATGAGATAAAAAAAGGTGACATCAAATGAACACTACCTACTTATTATGTAATTTTGTCATGAAATCATAATTAAATTAACGCTAACAAAATCAACTTGGTACTTATTACTCGATACTACTACTTGGTACTTATTATTTGAAAGTTAATCAAACTGAAGTGAAATAAACTATTACTTTCTTCGTTAAGATGTCATAAATTTTTGTTTCTTTTTACAAAATCATGATATCATCATCCCAAATATTCGGCCTCTGTCCGGGCTGAATATTCGGTATTCGGCTTGAGGGCGAAATACTATTCGTTGCAATACGCCACAAACCAATCTCCACTGGTGGGGAAATTTAATTTTTCCTATGTCATCGACTCTGCGCGCGTTTTCTTTTAAAAAGTGTAAAAGCTTCGGTTTTCTTTAAAAAGTGTAAAAATTCGATATTTTCCCAGTGTCTGCGTAACAAGTACTACGCCAGCGGGATTTGTGGAATAAAATTTAATCAAACTAGGATCCCCACCAGTAGGGATTAGTGGAATATAGCGAACTTACTAGCAAATACAGTCCTAAAAGTGTCAGATAGTACCTACAGCAAAAACTTGCCACTATTCTTGGTAAAATTATGTTTTGTAAAAAGTCATGGAACAAAAGTTTATGGTGTTAGTAATATGATCCCGCGAGGTTGTTACTATTTCACACATAATTCTGCACAACAAAACTATTAAGAAATAATAACATAGTACTTTCATTCTGTATAACTTCAAACAACAGCTATGTATTAAAAATATATTTATGTTTAAAATTTATTAGTTTTTTATTTTACCATTCAAGTATCACCTTATAAAATAGTTATTTCTATTCTTTATCTTTACGCAAAATAATTTCAGACCTTATGGAAGTCTACTCACACACACGATACGACATCGCAGAAACAACTTTTATGTCCATGCGCAATGCCTTTTTCGCTCTTATTGCATGACCGACTTTTGTTGACATGAAAGTTTGTCTCGTCTACAGAAAGAAATTAGATAGCTAAAAATTTTAATATATAAAGGCTTTGTTCCCACTAACGACAAATGGGAAAAATACCCATATATTACCAGGTGGTGACAAACGGGATAAAAAAATCCCAGTTGTTGCCAGTGATGATTTCTACTGGCGACAAATGGGGGAAAATAAAATCCCATATAATACCAGGCGGTGATAAACGGGATAAAAAAATCCCAGTTGTTGCCAATGGTGATTTCTACTGGCGACAAATGGGGAAAAATAAAATCCCATAAGTTACCAGGTGGTGACAAACGGGATAAAAAAATCCCAGTTGTTGCCAATGGTGATTTCTACTGGCGACAAATGGGGGAAAATAAAATCCCATATGTTATCAGGTGGTGACAAACGGGATAAAAAAATCCCACATGTTACCAGGTGGTGACAAACGGAATAAAAAAATCCCAGTAGGTTGCAAAAAAAAGTTGTAAAAAAACGAAACGGTATAAAAATTTCAATTAATGCAGTTTGTTGCCACCATCGCAAGGGAATAAAATAAAATTCGAGTTAATAAGATCTATACTTTTATCATTAAAATTTTTTGCCCTATTTGTCGCCACGGAAATCACCACTGCTAACAACTGAGACTTTTTTAACGATTTTTTACCCATATGTCGCCAGTGGGAACAAAGCCAGTGGTGACAACTGGGAATTAGCGCTAAAAATGGATTCATAATGTAGTCAAAATATAGTAAGTTCTTAGAATGTCATAGTATACATAACAGTATATGTATACAAGAGTAAGGAATATCCAATGTAGGTTTAAAAAAATGCACAAACGGAGAGACAGCTTTGTGGCCTTAAAATGTCTAAATAAAACCAATGAAATTAGCTGTACAATGTAATAACATAAAATCATTGACCTACCAACAAATGGACGTCGTGTCTAATACAAAAACCACGAAAAAAATGTTCGAAGTTAACCTATACAAACGTTAAATTGTAATGTCATTGCAGTACTGCCTAATTTTGCTTGCAACAATTTAAAGGCCCAAAAACAACATATTCAGCTTCTACTGGAAAATTAACAAAATGCACAATATTAAGCTTCGACTGAAAATTACAAAATTCAAAATAATCTTTATTTCATAAGCATTATTACATTTGAAATCGTCACATGAACACACAGAGTAATGGAGCAGCCTTTATCGTAAATATTAATTAATTTTTATATATATTATCATGTCGAATTTTGTACAAATTCACTTAAAGAAATAATAAAGAGTTGGGCAGGACATCATACATATATACCTACAAATATTACTACAAATGTGAAAATAAGAAATGTACCGATATTCCAACTAAACGTAAACTCTAATATTCGTAATTCCGAAAACCGGTTTATTATAAAACCATTACGCTTTCCAGTAATTTTGATGCTTTTCACAAAGACAAAATTGGCTTTTGTTTTGTAATCTTCCTAAAAAAATACATTCGACATTGTGAAAATTCGAGCAAACGTTATTTCGGGCAAATGTATTTTCTGACTTCTGATAGGTAATCACAAGCCGTAAAACGAGTACAACAATATTTTGTTAGTTACTGCTAAAGTTTACTAAAAAATAATTTTAAAAATAAGATTAAAATCAAAGCGACTCTATGGTGTCTTTGTTCTAAATATTTCATCGCTTGCGGTTCGAACAATTGAAAATGACCAAGAAGCTTCTTGTTTGTTTATATAAGCTTCTTGAAATTGACGTACTGGGTCTCTTTCCATCTTTTGCGCATGCAATGTGTGGAAAACGGACAGTTAGCTATTTGATTATTTTGTGTGCTTTTGTAATTTATATTTACGAGTTATTTACGATTCATTTATATATAAATTAAATTTATAAAACTGCTCAAAATAACACTTTTAAATGAGAACTATGATAGATAACACAATATATTTGTTTAGTGAAATTATGATACGAAATCCTGTTTTTGCACTTTACTGCAGTAATTTTTACAAATTATTATATGGTACTGCATGATTGACAACCGCGCTGTCAGTCGAACAAACGAAGACTGTTGCGCGATTGACGCTCTGTATACGATTTTAACGCCCTATACGTGCGGATTTTTAGCGCGAACCCGACGTCCATTTATTGGTAGGTCAATGCATAAAATACATCAATTATGTCATTCTGACAACAACAACCTTATCTCCTTTTTCTACCCGGTCCTTTTTTGCCAGGATTCCTCTGCCCTTTGCCACCCTTTGGCTTTTTTGCTGAGAACTTTGTGGGGTTACCACCCTTGCCTTTACGTTTACCAGCTTTGGGTTTCACGATTTTCTTTTCGTCAGATCGTCTGAAAAATTAAAACTTTGAATAGTACTTTACTCTTTCCTTTTGAAACAATTTTGACTAGGAATATAATAATTGAAAATTGCTACGCTCTAGGGCAATTGAAGCATGAAACTGAAAATGTAGCATTGAAACAGTATGTTTCTTGATATAGTCAACCAATACATCACTACATGTATTTACTGCAACTGCAAACCACTTATAAAGCAATGCACAATACTGAATTAAATACAAGTTATATTACAATTAAAATTAATCATAATTGTTACTACTTACTGCACTTGTTCATCGTGTATGTGCTTTGCGACAGCCTTATCCATATCAATCTTGGGCCTTTTATTAAGAATTTTGTCTAAGAGGTTTAAATTCTGCTGTTTTTCAGCTTCAGGAGTAGGTATTGGAGCTTTACGTTTACGCTCTTTCCCAGGGATGAGCTCATGGATACCTTTCCCACGTGCTTCTTTTTCTTTTGGCAGTTTGTCTTGGAATTTACCAAGGGATGCTGTTGATGCTTTAGCTACAGTTGCCGCTGTAGCTAACTGAAAGGGAATAATTGTATTTTTTTGTTGGCAGTTAGCAAAATTAACTATAAAATATTGACAACTTGTTCAGACAACCTATGTATCTATGGTTGAGTTGAGTTTTTGGTTAGTTACTTTGTGATCAGAGCAACGCATGTGATATTGTCTAATATTTATTTACAATTTATTGAAACACACAACATTTAAGTATAGAACAAATAGCATGATTTAAGTAAGACTCAATGTTTTCCACATGGATTACTTTTCGGTCATCTTGGACATCCATTTTGTAATGTATCAGTTATGCTAGAATAGTTATTCTATCATTGTATCGAGTTCTTAAGTTTTCGCTATTTTTACACATAGGAAGTCAGTCAACTGTGACCATGAAAACCTGTATAGTGCCCCAAATCTTAGTTTGTTTCACAAAACAAATATACACAATTTAAATCCGGAAAATAGTTTCATTACCTAAATACATTGTCTTAACCACAGACTTTTATTCTAAGGTATTTATAAAAATTAGCCGCTGATGATTTTGACTGCAGTTTTACACAGAATCCTCTAGAACCACAGAAGATTCAGGCCCCAAACGTTAATAGTGCAAGTACACATTGAACTATGTGGGTGTTGTTCAGTGTGAAGTGCCTTCAAGTAGCAATGTGACTGGAAATGGAAGAGCAGTAAAAGAAAAACATATTATTTTTAATTCGAATACCTGTGTAGCAGAAGCCTTATCAGATGTAACAGGCAAGCCAACCCTTGGTATTTTGACTTTTCTAGCACGGGCAATGTTCTTCAATCTTTGCAGTTCATTTTTTGCAACCTTCTCAGACTTCTCTGTAGCTTTCTTTTCATACATGTCTGTCATTGGGTGTACATTTTGTGGGATTTCAATCAACCAGTTCTTTTCTTTCTCAGCAGCAGCTCGTTTAAAACTAGTAACATAAAATTGATTCTTTATCCAATATCATTCATTGTTAGTTGAAGAAATGAATTTTAATGTATATTGAAACTAATTTCTATTTATTAAAGCCTATGTGTATTTCACAAACGCGCGTCATAGAGGCTCAAAAAGCAAAAATCAAACACAATACAAACGCGCAAGAAGCATTTTACGCAAGTTTGAATCAGTTCAAATGCAATGATTGTGTTGCAAGCGAGAAGTTTATATACTCCACTAGAGTTTACACTTAAAATTTCATGTAGTAGCTTCATTACAAAAACTAATCGAAATTAACAAACAAAATATCGAGTTCTTAGGTTTTCGCGATTGTTACACATAGGAAATGAAACTATTTTTCCGGATTTAAATTGCGTATATTTGTTTTTTCAAACAAACCGACGTTTCGGGCCCTTTACAGGTCCCATGGTCACGGTTGACTGAGGTGGTACAGTCTTCAACCAGATATGTCTAATATTAATGCAAACCACCCTATTTTTGCACTATAGTTACAATAGTTATTAATTAAATACCTTATTTTTAATTTTACAAAGAAAACATTCCAAAGTACACTACATTCAGTTTTACGAATTATTTTATTGAATGAATTGTTATTAAGTTTAATTTATTATTAATTATTAATAGAAATTAGAATAAACTAAAACATATTAATTAGTACTGCAGTCTTATGTCTGTTTGGGATGTTTCATTAGAGGAAATACTGGATCCCAAACTGGTGGTACTGAGAAACCACCTTCCCTGTTGAAATTAGGATGTTTTTAAATTTCAATGGCCTCTCGCAGCATCCTGGGCAGATAACGGACTTCTTTTGCAAGGACCTGGGGTTTGTCAAACTTCATTGAATGTGTAGGTTTATCCATGACATGCTCGCAGACTGTAGACTTGTTTACGCGACGGTGTTTGACATCAGCTATATGTTCTTTGACACGGGCACAAATACTTCGCTTTGTTTGTCCAATATAAATAAAATCTTCTAATTTCTATTAATAATTAATAATAAATTAAACTTAATAAAAATTCATTCAATAAAATAATTTGTAAACTGTTGTGATTGAATGTTTTCTTTGTAAAATTAAAAATAAGGTATTTAATTAATAACTATTGTAACTATAGTGAAAAAATAGGGTGGTTTGCATTAATATTACACGTATCTGGTTGAAGACTGTACCACCTGAGTCAACTGTGACCATGGGACCTGTAAAGGGCCTGAAACGTCGGTTTGTTTGAAAAAACAAATAGACGCAATTTAAATCCGGAAAAATAGTTTCATTTCCTATAATAAACAAACTAAAATTACAACTACCTCTTATCAAAATGCGCAAAACATACATGCAACTACAGTGCGTCTGCGACACGTATAGGTGCAATAATTTGTGAATGTGTGCAAAGGTTTACTTGCAGGCTACATTGCGATAACGCGCGTCTGCACATGGCGTATAAAATACACCATGTGCAGGCTCTTAATGGTTTTTCAACTACTTTTAAATGCAATAATACTTAGTAAGGAAACAGAACAATGTGAAAGCTAACCCATATAACGGCACCCATTTCTGAAGCTGTTCATCCCATTTGAGTTTGTCTTTCTTATTTTTAGTGATTCCCTTGGCTTTAGCAAACTCCTGCCATTTAGTGAGGGGCTTGGGTTTCGGAACAGGCTTGGCACGTGGCAAGATTGTTGTTGGTGCCGGCAACCGTACCACTATTGCCTCTTCTATCCTCTCTGTTGGCAACTCCCACACTTTGTTCAACAATAACTGAGTATTGTCACGGGCTAACGATAGTAGATACGCATCTCTGTCTTTATCTGATCTGCAAACAGTTTCATCAAGATCATTATTACAGCGATGTTATGAGGAAATGCTTCGCTCAAGGATATTAAATCAGGCAACAAGCTAACTGAGCTTTGGAGACAACCTAGATATGGAGATAAATAGACTTGAAACTAATATTGTTGTAAAGGAGTCCATAGGTTACTCACAGAAAATATAATCTTAACGTAAAGTATTGTATGTCAAAATTGCCAAGTTTACAGGGGAGCCTTTTAAAGTTCTGAATTCACTAAAATAAGCATAACACGTGACTTTAGATTTCTCACTTTTATTCGGCAAATCTCGTAACACACGTTGAGTATCATAAAATCCTAGATATCGGTTAGATGATCTATTAAATGATCACTCTATGTGAGTAACAAGCTTTGCCAAAGGAAACGGAGAACTTTAAAACACTCCCCTGTAAACTTGGCAATTTCGACATACGATACTTTACGTAGGAGGCGTCGCTTTGTCAGATTTTGTTATACTTTGTTACCGTAAATCTTATGAATGAACGTAAAGTAAAACAATACTTACTTCAATAACTTAGCTTCCAAATCATTAGTATCCGACGCAAGTAACGTACCAAGATCTATGTCTAAATCTAAATGCTTTTCAACTGTGATAGGTTTGTACTTCTCAGCCTTTTTCTGTTCTCTTTCCAAAATTTCATTTACTATATCCATTTTTTACGAATATCTAGTATATATCATAAGTAAATTCTTCTTTTTGCATTACTAGACCTGCCACAAAACAAATTGATAACCTCAACGATTCTTGACAGTTGACACTACACGTGTTTTACAGCGTTGTCAATGTTAATTATTCAAAATTCCCAAAAATAGATTCCCCACAAATAATATTTTATTCATTCTGACATTATGCGTATTTATTATATTTTTATTTTTACGACTACAAATCCATCGCTTGAAAATGTAACATATAATTAAGAAAGTTAAAATGTAACTACCTACGTTACGTTACGCTAAAATTACAAATAATCTCAAGAAGTTCAATTAACTTTACATCTTAATATTTTAAGATTGACGAGTGGCAAGTTGTGATACGAAAATACTAACCACAAACTAAGTACTAACTGCTCGGCTTTGTTTAGCAACTGCTGGCTGACTTCTTTTTTTTTCATACTGGCGATTGAGCGCGTGACCCTCACGTTTAAGCCTAAACGTGAGGGTCACGCGCTCAACATATACCAACTGATCATCATCACCATATTATTTAAGAGCCAGGCTCTTGTCGGTGGCTCATAATAATGGAAATTTTACAAAACAAAGTGATCCAAATCCTACAGGATAATTTTATATAAGGCGGCATGCCGACAATTCTATATAAAATGTATATCATTTAATGCTGATTTATAAGCCCATGTGCCCATGTGCGATGTTGAAAAAAATATCAATAAACAAATAAATTGTGTTTTTATCAATAACCATCAACTTAGCGAGGCAACAGCAATCGATAGATAAAATGAAATGGCAAAATGCTAGAATCCCTTCTCATTATTTTCCCCCACACACACAGTCAATTCCCATAAAAATCCCCAATCGAGATGAAATTCCCCGTGATTTAGGGATTGCCTCGTAAATTGGCAACACTGCAGCTTTAATTTTTTTTTGTTTTGGTACTGTTTTTTCCATTGGAAAAGGCAAAGGCACTAATGCGCCATACAGCCAAGACTGATTTTTTTTTATATATTAATAGTTTTATGGCGTCGGCATAAATCTATTGAGGTAAATCTTCAAACATTTTATTTTATAAATCCCCTTTTTAGGATGAAAAAAGAAAACCATAGTCTGACACTGCGTTTACACTATCATGCTGGCTATACAAGTACTACTTACAACATTGACTTAAGTCAATGACTTACAACTATTTTCTTAATATAATAATAATATTAAGAAAGTAGTTGCTTACTTTAGTAAAAGAACCTCACCGGCAGAATCGAACTACTGTTCATATGACTTGGAAACATTAGCCATATACAATGCACTAAAACACTTCTGAGTGTACCTGTTAGGTATTAAATTTCAGTTATTCACCGATTGTAATTCCATCAAATCAACAATGAGTAAAAACGACTTGTCTCCTCGTGGTGAACATATATGCAAGATTCTGATTTTGAGGTCATATACAAAAAGGGTAAATATATTGGTCACGTAGATTTCCTTAGTCGCAATCCAGTCAAAGAATCCGTAAAATCCTTTGTGTTAGGCAATGAGCCCAAACCACATCAAAATTATTCCAAACCCCATCTAGTTTCAATACAATTAACAGAACCTGTTAAATCTGAGGATTTATTGTCTACTACAGTTAACCTACTTGGTACTTGGTGTAACGGGCTGGTGTCCACAACTCGACGTCAAGGCACCTATTTTGCGTGTGGTACAGTTAACATAATCAATGACCCCCCCATCTTGGTTGGAAACGGCTCAGCAAAATGACAATGAAATGCAGAATTTAATTAATCAAGTTATTACTGGTGATCTTGACGGAAATCGTTATTTCATGCAAAATAATTTGCTGTTTTACAAAGACCAATCAAATGAATCTAAACTGTATGTACCCAAAGGATCAAGATTCAATCTTTTAAAACTTTTTCACGATGAAAATTGCCATGTAGGTCTTCATAAAACAGTGAATAAAATTAAAGAACATTTTTGGTTTCCTCGCATGTCTGCATTTGTTCAAAAATATTTAAGACATTGCTTAATATGTATCGAACGTAAAGGTCACTCGGTTCCAAACATTGACTTAAGTCAATGGTTCCGAAGCAAGGTTTTCTATTTCCCATTGATAAAATTCCTATCCCCTTCCACACGATTCATTTAGACTGCACAGGTCCTTTTCCTAGAACAAATGAGGAATACAAGTACATTTTGCTCATGTTGGATGGATTTACAAAATTCTGTTCATGACCCCTGAAAACTTTGAATTCTGAAGAATTGATACCTCTTATACGGGACACAATCACCCTGTTTGGTACCCCTTCAAATGTTATGGCTCTAATTTTAGTTCAAATCAAATACAATCGTTATTTAGAGAATTAGGAATTGGGCATCAAATGATAGCTACGGGTACCCCAAGACGCAACGGTCAGGTTGAGCGATATGTAGCCACGGTGATAGACATGTTAAATACCACATGTAATTGTTCGTCAGACTGGCCGAGCGGATTGTTCGAAGTACAACAATCAATTAATACTACTATCCAGAAATCCACTAGCTTCACACCCATTCGTCTTTTAATTGATTGTAATGCAAATATTCCAGGTATTCAGTCATGTTTGAATGATGTCGATGTTTCTGAACAAAACATAGATGTAAGAGCAGATCGCGAATTGGCTCACCAGCGTTTATTATTACAAGCAAATAAATTTAAAACTCGTTTTGACGCGATACTAAAACGTTTGAAATACATGATACGGTGTATGTAAATCAGGATCATAGACGACACGACAAGTGAAGTCCTAGATTTAGAGGACCCTATGAAATCTCCTCTATTCTCCCACATGATAGATATATTTTGGGAGAATTGTGGCCATGGACAAATTAAGTAAATGGCCTGGTGAATGGGTAAATGATGATACAATTGCAAATAGATTCCCCTCATAAGTAATGATATTATCATAACTCGGTTTTTTTTGTAATGGTAATAGTAATAAGCGAATAATTCTGATTACCTTTCTGTGTTATTTAATTAAATGTTTGGTTGAACTGCTGAAGTCTTTTGCTTTAATCTAGTCTGCTCATGCGCAGCAGGTGTGGGACTAGATGATATTGTCCTTAAAGCGATTGATCGCTGTTTACTCGTTTTCTTAATGTGAAAAGCAAAACGGTAACAATGCATGATGTAATAATAATAATAATAATAATAA